GCAATCACTTTTATATATTTAAAAAAAAAGAAAAAAAAAAAAAAAAAACTTTTATTATTTTTAGAATTATAACAAATTGAAAGTTAAATAGTTCCCTATTCTAACAGATTGAAACATTAAGATAATGTTGATATTAAAATTTATTTGATTTTTCTTTAATCAGAAGTAGCAAAATCAAGTTTTCTTTATAAATCATTTTTATAGATAAAATTAATGCCTTAATTCTTACTTTATGCAGTAAACATACCTTTGAAAAAAATAAACATATGTATATATTTATCAAATTTATTTTATATATATTGCAAATTAATAAATATCTCGATAAAAAAAAAATATATGTTTTTTTTTTAAAAATATATATTAATAAAAATATAAAATAAATGAATATATATATATAAATATATATATATATATATATATATATTACTTATAACATCAAATAGTGTTTATTTTAGCGAAAATTATTCAAGTCTTATTTCTATTTTTTTATTATTATTTATTGCTAAAAAATCAAATAAATTATATATATGATTAATAACTAAATAAGATTCGTATTTAATTTATTTTAAAGTTTAATTTTATTATTCATTTAAATTGCTTAATTCAAATTAATTTATATTTTATATTACTGGAACTAACCTTTCTCTAAAATTATTTAATGTTTTTAAAAAAAGTATTTCTTAGTTTTTTTTCTATTATTAATATGCTTTTATATTTTCAATATAGGTTATATCTTCTAAAGTTACTACGAAATTATTTTCGTTTGTTTAAAAATTACTAATTTTTATACTAAAAACTTTTGAAAAATTTGTATCTTCTTATTCTTTATAAAAATAACCTACAAAGACTTCTGTTTATTGTGTTTAATACATTTATTTTTTTTGACTATTTCTTAATTTAGTACAAGATGATTATTATGAATTTCTATATTTGCTATTATTATTATCTTTATTTTTAATATTACTTTAATCAATTATTTTAACACTCTTATCAAAAATTAATTTTGTTTTTTATTTTTATCTACATTTTGAATTATTTTACAAAATATTTATATATTTATAAATTAAATAATCTTTTAATGTATTTATTTCTTTTTTTATTGTTTATTTTAATAAATTTTAATCCAAAATTTTTATTTAACTAAAAAATTTCCTCATTTATTAACTATCTTTAACATTATAATATGTTCTTGCATTTTCTTTGTAATTTTTTTATTTATTTATATTTTTTTTGTATTTTTACTGCTTGAATTTACATATTCTATATTACATGCTCTTTAATCCCATTTACTAATAAAAAGAAATTAATTATACATATTATTAATTATTCTAAAGTATTGGCTTTTTTTATAATTATTCAAAAATTTAATTCTTTCGTGTTTTTCTCTAAAATATCTATACAAAAAACACTAAATTTTAAAAATTTATAAAATATTAGTACTTGTTTATTATTAAATACGCAGGAAAAGCAATAAAAAGTGCATATGATGTATTATTAAATTCCTAAAAAAATTTTTAATATAAAATAATAGAAATAGATCTATTAAATATTATTAAAATGCAGTCTAACAAAAATCTAGAAGAATCTAACGAATAAATCTTTATAGTACTAATTATTTCACATATTATAATATATTGATAAATATATTAGTTTTTTTAAGAATTCAATATTTAATTATTATAAAAAGATAATTAAGATATTTCTAACAATATATTCCAAATAACATGATATAAATAAAACCTTTTCTTTAAATAAAACATTAACCAAATTATTATTAAGATTGACACATTAAAAATAGCTAAATAGAACCATTATATTTCATTTTATAGTTAATAAATTATAATAGATATAATAAAACTAAATAATAAGTTTAATGTATAAGTAAATTTTATAAAATTATTTCTATAATTTTAATATTTTTATTCTAAATAACTTGATTTAAATGTTAAAAAGAATTAGTTAATTTATTTGTTAAAATGCATATTTTTAAATAGAAACTTTTTATTATCAATACTATGTAAAATTTTAATATATTATTAAAATAATTAAAATAATTTATTTTAATAAATCTATTAATAATTATTGAATTCATATGTTTTTAATACTAATTTTATAGTTTTTGTCTTTATTTAAATTTAATTGATAAAAAAAAATATTTAAATAATAATAATACTAAAATAAAATTTTATTAATTTCAATGTTTGAAATAAGTAAAAATTAATAATATATATTTTTTTTTTATTTTTAATTTTTAAATAAAACCCTTATTAATAAAATCATTTTTTAAAATTAATAAAAATTTAAATTAAAATACATATAATCATTATGTTTTTATATTTAATTAAAAGATATTTTAATATAATAATAAATTAATATTAATTAGTAATAAGCATATATATATGGATAAATATAATTTAGTATAAGATATAAGCACATAAAAAGTAGAGAATTTATTTGAATGGTTAAAAAAAAACGATGCAAAAGGTTTAGAAGATCTCGAAATTCGCCCAAGCAAATAATGCAATAATACACCAGGATGCTTTACAAAAAGAGAATATAAAAAAGGTGAAGTATTAGCATAAATTCCCAAAAAAAGTATTTTAGGATTGGGGAATGCATTACAAAATGAAAAAATCTAACTTTTAAAAAGAGAAGCCGAAAAACAGGAGAATTAAGTAGAATATATATCTTGTAATGAATTTTATTTATGGGTATATATGTGTATTTTATTAGTAGATTAACAAAAAAATGAATTTAATCCATATTTAAAAAGTCTTCCTTAAAAATCCCCTATTATAAGCAGTTGGGAGGAAAAAATAACTAAGATTATAGAAAACAACAACATAGGCTAGGCTATAAATAAAGAGCAAATTCAATTTGAAAATTAAATTGCATTTTTAAAATAGATTTCATAAAAATATCCAAATATTTTTTCTGATGAAATATTACAATATTTCGATTGGGCTAAAGGAAATTATCTTTCAAGAAGATTTATTGGAGAAATGGCTATTAATGGATAAGGTAGGAGTCTGGAAAATTATGGAGGGAAAATGGGTTGTTTAGTGCCTTTTTTTGACTTATTGAATCATAAAAATGAATATAAAGTTAATTTTTAACATAATGATGAGTATATTTAGTACATTTGTGAATATGATTTAAATAAGGGAGATGAAGTTTTTAATAATTATTGTTCAGGAAGTAATGAAGAGTTGTTATTTACATATGGATTTGCTACCTAAAGTAATCCTTTTGACTATTTTCCTTTAAAATTAATGTAATATAGTTAAGATAATGGATAGAAATAAATAGGAATTTTTAAGTTAAAAAATAAAGAACAAGGAGGAATTCCAAAAGAACTTCTTTAGGCTATTACTGGAGTTGAGAATGTTGAAGATTTAAGTCCAGAAGAAGCTAATGTTTTGGTACAAACGCTAAATCAAAAAAACTAAGTGATTTAAGAAAGTTTACAAGGATTAGAGAGTCTGGATGAGGCTGATTATAGGAAATTATATTTGAAATACTTACTTAATGGACATAAATAAATTATTAAAGATAGTTTGGTAGAAATTTAAAATTTAGTTTTCTAATATGATTATAATGTATATGGTGATGGTGATTAGTAATTAAGTTATAAGAAAGAGAGAAAAATAAAATAAAAATAAAAGAATAAAAACAAAAAGATTAATAAAAATAAGAAAATTAAAATTGATTCATAAAATTAAGAATAATGAAGAAATTTCATTATTATATTCAAAATTATAATTTTATTTATATGTATTTTTACAATTATTTTAATTCAATTATTTTACATTATTAATTTTAATTAATAATCTAAATTTAAAACTTGCATTTTAATTATTTAAAAAAAATACAATATTATCTTTAATAGTAAATTATTAAATATAATTCAGCTTTACTTTATTTTATTAAATCTTATTTTAAAAAAAAAGATAATAAAAATAAAAATATAATTTTTTTTTATAAATTTGATAATTAATAAATACTTATATATTATATATTTATTAAAAATTACTTGCTTATATGTAAAAGTTTTTGCCTTTTAACTGGTTAAGTTCAGTTCTTATTAGCAAAGTATATAAAACATTTTTTTTTAATAAACTTCCAAATAATAAAAAAATAGTTTTTAAAACCATATTTTGTATCATTAGACAATTAACAAATAGATATAGGATTTTGGAAAGGTAAAAATGATTAATAATATTTTTTTTATGATAAATAATATAAATAATTTTTTAAGGTGAAATCATAATTAAAGATTTAGTGTTTAAAAAGGAAATATTTTTATTATATGGTATTAATATTGAGGTTGTTAATTCGATTATAAAAGAGTTGAAAATAAAAATTCCATGGAAATCAATAAATGCTTAAGTAAAAAAATTAATATATATATAATATGAAAAAAATATATAAATCCACTTTTATTTAAATAAAAAAAGCCTATTTAAATTTTAATAAATGGAGTAAAAATGATTGTTAATAATAAATTAGAATAGACTGAAGAAGAAAAAAAAGAAACTTAATTAAAACTTTTATAAATAAAATTAGATACATTATAATAATTCGAAGCATCAGTAGATTTATTTTTTAAAAAACAATTAGAGACAATAAAAAAATAATAAGAAATAATAAATAACTTATAAAATAAAGAAGAATAAAAAAAAGAACCATTTTATTAAAATATGTTGTATAATATTATATCTAATTTTTAAATATAAATAAATGAACTTGAATTAGTTAATATATATCATGTAAAATATCTATTTATAATTTATTTAAAGAAAAATATTTTTTAATTAAAATTAAAATTAAAAATAATAATTTATTTTTAAAAAAGATTAGCAATTATGAAATTATAAAAGTTGGATTTAATGTTGAATCTATTAGTTTAGGAAATGTTGATTAATAATTTAAAAACAATTCTTAATATTCGATTTTCAAAGATATTTAAATTAAAAATATTGGAGTCTTTTTCGAATTTTATGATAGCTTTTTAGATACATTTATTATGGTTTAAATAATATATTCATATATAATTTAAAATTTAATTTATATTTGAATTTTTATTATAAACATAAATATAGAATGATAATTATTTTAATATAAAAGCGAAAAAAACCGGGTATTTTTCTCAAAAATTCCAAAAACAAGATGAAAAGCCATCAGAAGAATAAATGCAACATGAAAAATCAGAAAACTACATTCTGAAAAATTTTAACATATCCATAAAAGTAAAACTCGATTTATTAGAATATCCGAAAGTTGAAATTAATATAACCACAAATGACATAGTAATATTCCTAAAATAAAACTAAGTAAGGCTATTAATCAAATCTTTAAAAGAATTAGCGAACTACAATTCTGAAAGGCCTAAAATAAGACCTTTAGAAATACCTTTAGACAATCAATTAGTTTGTAATGGAGCTATGTAATGGTGGAAATATATAAGTATTTAAATATATATTTTTAACAATATTTAAAATGACATATATATATATATAAAGTTGATAAAGTAATAACTTTAAAAAAATTATCAATCAAAATGAAGCAAAAAAGCTTAGTGGGTTTTTTGCGAGCTGCTAAATATAGAAGATATTATACGAAAAAGCGAATAAATTCAAGGCTAAAAGAAAACGAAGTTTACTTTTTGGAAAATTTTGAAATGGAATTTCCTTTATAACAATTAATAATCTTAAGAAAAATGGCCATTAATAATATTGTCGAAAATAAAGAAAAATTAAATTCGAGCAACTTTAATCATAAATATGAAGCAGAAAAATGGTTTTATAGTATTGATTAGTAGTTCTAAAAAAATATAATTCTTAATTTGAATGTATTTTATTTGGATGATGATACCTTTTTTCCAAAAAAATAGCAAAATTAAAAATAAAGTGAATCCTTTGATTAAATAATTAATGAAAAAATTTAATAAGAGTAATCACATAACAATTCAAATTCTAAAAGTAAAAAATAATAAATTACATTTAACATTGAATTAGATATTTTTAGTTTCCATATTCTAGTAGAAGAAAACGAAATGCTGAAAGATATAAAAAATCTTCATTATTAAGCTAAACTATTTAAAAACTCATTTAGAAATAATCCTAAACTTTAAGAATAAGTAAAAAGCAAAAATATTTATATATATTAATAAAAATATCTCAAATATAAAAAATTAGATATTAACTCATATAAAAAAAACTTTTCTTCATGAATTAAGTAAAAAAGGACTGAAGTAATTTCAAGAAAATCTAGAAAAAGACAAAAATAATATCAAAAAGATAAATTCTTCAAAAATATTAGAAGGTTAAAATTGGAATTTTAACAATTTGAAAAATTCAAAAAAATTACTTTTGCATCTACATATAAATAATTTTTTACTCATATATAGCCAAGATAATACTAAATTACAATAAATACAATTTGATTTGGATTCTTTTTAAATAACTGACATGCATTCTTTAAATAAGCATTATAATATATTAATGTAAATAAACGAAGGAATACAAATAGTATTCAAAAACCAATCTTCAAAAAATCTTTAGTAAACAGGCACCAAAGATAATCTATATATATCAAATTAAAATCTTGACATTAACATTCCAGTAATAAAAATTACTTTAACAAAGCCTTTTGTAGAGAGATGCAGTAAATAAATATACATATAATATTTATATTATTTTTTTATATAAAAATATATTTAAAAATTAGATGTTTTAACATAATTATTACTATTTGATCCAGATTAAATTATTAGTAAAGATTAAAAAATGGAAAATAATTTAAAAGAAAAATAAAATGTTTATAAATAAGAAGAATATTTCAATAATTTCCTTATTCAAAAAGACATTGAGAAAACTTGCTTTACCAACATTTCATTTTAAATTGGAAAAATAAACGTTTTTATTCCTACAAATTATCAATTATAATCAGAAATGTTAGCCTTATAAATAAAAAAAATTTAAATTTTAAAAAGGGAACATGATACTTTAATAAATAAAGAAGTATATGACGAATAAAATTTAAGAATAAAATCAGCTTCTTAAATCTAAATGGATTTATTTAATTAAATTTAGGAACCTTTAATAATCGCAATAGATTGCTTTAAAATTTTAATAGTCAAAAGTTATGATTGGGAGGAAAAATATAATATTTTTTTATATAATTACAAGAAAGTTGAACAAAAATCATCTAAAAGACTAAATACAGTCGAATATGAGCAAGAAGATGTAAAAGAATAAGTAAAAGAAGATTAAAATGAAAAAACTGAAGACTTTACTGAAAAAAATGCAGGAGAGTAAGAAATAATACTAGAATCGCTTTCCTTATAAATAAAAATAGAAAACACTTACGCTTAAAAAGTAGTAGGCTCTATAATTTACCTCGATAACAATAAAAAGATAAACTTGTAAAAAAAAATAACTCCCCAAAGTCAAATATGTAAAATCTAATTACCCTTTTTAATCATAAATTTATCAATAAAATAACTCTAAACAATAATTTATTTATTTTAATTATGGAGTATCAAAGGGTATAATTTTTAAACATTAATAAATGAATGGGATGAAAAACAAAACTTATAATTTTAATAAAATGACGAAAAAAATAGGTCTTTTATGACTTCTTAATTAAAAAAATAAATCGAATAGCATGTTCATTATCCGGATAATATAAAGGAAATGCTAAAAACGCACTTTTTTAATACTTTAGAAGTTTTTTTAGAAGGATTTTAAATAAATCTACTGGTTTGTCCAAATGAAAAAATCCAAAAAATAAAAGATTAGTTTTTCCATTCTAATAATATATTGAGTATTACAGGTCATAATGTCACATTTTTATCATAAAGTAAATTTTTTGAGAATTTTTAAAATATTCAATTGAATGAATTTATTATTTAAAATTAAAATTGTTGTTAGTAGAAAATCTAGGAAAAAATAAAGTAATTGAGCACTAAATAATTGTCAGAAAGTGACTATTAGATGATTATGTTAAAAGAATGTCCCAAAAATAAAAAAATAAATCAATTTTTAAGTATTAATAATAATAATAATTCGTCTTCAAATAATTCTGATTTAAAAATTAATTTTAATTTAATAAAAAAAGCAGAAGGGAATATAGAAACTATAAATGAAAGTTTTGATTAAGATATGAAGTATTTTTTCAATTAAATAAATTAATAAATAAATGATAAAAATAAAGTTAATTAAAAATAATAAAACGAAAATGAAAATCAAATTTTTGTAGATTTATTAAAATTTGAAGAAGAAAATCTGATGATTAAAAATAAAAACAATGAAAAATGTTCACTTTGTTTTGAAAAAAATTCCTAAAAAAAATTTCTTATTTTAAATTTTTAATAAGGTTTTAATAAATTTTAAACTTAATAAGAAGATATATTACCTGATATTTCAGTTTCTATTATTTCATATAATGAATAGTATTTTTTTGCCTATCCAAAATTTTAAGGATTGATTACTCCTTTGAAAATTAATTTGGAATTAAAAAGTACGATTCTTACTTTAGATCCAGTTTAAATAGCCTATTTAAAAGGCATTTTAGATATTACTTCGATTTATATAAACTAAAGAATCGAAGATTATAAAGAATTTATGTAAACGAAAGGTTTCACGGCTACATTTTAGGAATAAAAAACTTAAAAAAATAATTAAAAAAAATTGGAGGAAAATAATTTAGATGAAAATAATAAAGTAATATTGTCAAATATAAGAGTAGAAATACCTTCACTGAGTGTAATAATGTTGCATAATTCAAGCCTTAAAAGTAAAGACTAAAATAACAAATTATTACCTGTTTTTGTGCTTAATATGAAAGATATTTTATTTAATTAAAAAAACTTTGAAAACGACACTTAGATGAAATTTATCTCTAAAAATATTTCTTTATTTGATGTCGGATAATTTTCAGGATTACATACTTAGTATAAATATATAACTACATTTTTTTTGATATTTATATATACAATTTTTTAAAATATTTTATTTTATTAAGAATATTAGGTAACATTGAAAACGGATAAAATGAATTAAGTTTAGAATTTAATATAAAAAATACGGAACTAATAAACTAAAATAATAATTACTCTACATACATAGGAGTTAAAATCAAGAACTCAAAAATAGTTTTCTTAAAAAAAAATACGATAGAACTCCAAACATATATCCTTAAATTTCTTATGAATTCTATATAAAATAAAACTACAGTAGAAGATATTAATTTTATGAAAAATTATAGCCGATTATTAATTAAACAAAAACACGATTTAATTTATTCATTAAAAACTCCAAAAGCAAAACAATAATAATAAAAATTCAAAGAAAATAAAACTGATTAGGAATAAGTATACTCAGACTCAAGAATAGAGATAGCGATTATAGACTCCATAACTTCTGTATATAGAAACTCTTTAAGTGAAAAAGACGGATTATTTCTCAAATTTTCCAAAATCGGATTTTGGTTTACAGGAAAGTGGGGAATGGAATTTATTTAAAATGGTTTAATAGACAAAGGATTGCATTTTTTTGAAAATGAGACTAATTAAACTTAATAGGAAGTTTTTTCTTAAAGCAATTCCTATAGAGGTTCTTTTTAAGACGTAATAAGTAGTTTTAATGAGGCTGAATTTATAAAAATTTAAGAAATATATAAAAGCTAAATATAAACAGTAAGAATTTAAAAATAATAATAAACTTCTATATTTAATAATTAATAATAATTTTCTAATTAATAATATAATTCTAATCAACAATTTAATTCGAATTAATAAAATAATAACTCGAATGATAATTTGTTGTTTAAAAATTAAGAAAACTTAAATAACATTTAACTTCTAGAAAATAATACATAAACATAATAATTAAATACAGAAGCAAATAATTAAAGTTAAAAATAATAATTTTAAAAAGTTTCAAATAATGTTATAGAAGTTCAACGCATATTTTTATGGGATTTGTAAGTTTATTCAACTGAAGAATATTTGAATAAGGTAAAATACATAATATATATATTTTTTATTAATTAAAAAATATTTAATATAGGATTTAATAATTAAAGGTCCTAAAAATATACCTTCAGTAGAAATAAAAATAATTTTTGATGACAAAGGGTTTTATAATTACACGCATATCGAATAATAATTAAAACCTATGAAAATTTAAGTAAAACTACCTTATCTAGATCTTTATTTATATGATAAAGATTTTTGTATTTTATGTAAGCTTTTTTAGGAAAATCTAGGTGAAGCACCCCGAAATGTATTTATTGATTCTGATTATGATATAGAAAATAATAATGTATAAATTATTTATATTAATTTTATTAAAACATAAATAAAAATAAAAAGGTATGGTAATTTAGCGATATAGAAATAGGTTAAATTAATTTAAAATGCTTTTAGGGATAGAGAGATGATTTATTATATTATATTACTTAATATTATAATTTTTATTATTAAGATATTAGATTAAATAATGATATCCCAGATTATTTAAAAGGAGTAAAATAAAAATCTAACAAGCAAAAATAAAAGAACAACTTTTGGACACCTAATCAGAAATAAAAAGCTGAAAAAAAATAAATTAATAAAAAATTCGAAAATTTTTTAAAATAAATAGCTTAAAGTTAAACTCAAGAAAATTAGTAATAATATTAAAATATCTTTATAATACATAATCCAGTGAGTTTAGGTAAATTAAATATATTTTGTATTTATTTATTCGAATAAAAGTTGAATTATAGTTAAAAAATGTAGTTTTTCATTTTTGTATGAAAGAAAATGGAGGGAAAATAATGAAATTATGGGCTCGTTCTTTATAAATGAAAGATTTTAGAATGACATCTTAAATGTAAAATGATTCTATTTTATTTGATATTAGTTAATGGTAATAAGATTAAATGAATAGCAAAGTAAATTTTAAAAATAAAGAATATAAGGATACAGATAGTATTCAAAGTGCTGATTTGGAAGTGAATAATTTTTTTGAAGAACTAAAACAAAAAGAATTACAAAAACAACAAAATAATTAATAATGTCCTTATCAAAATAATTAAAATAAAAATAATCAAAATATTGAAAATATTTCAGCTATAAATAGTGTAAATGAAGAACTTAATAAAGAAAATGATAAAAATAAAAAATAATTATGCGAAAAAAGTTTATGGGATAAAATAAAACACTTCTTTTCATAAATTTGTTAAAAAAGAAAAAAATCAAAAGAATAAAATTAATACATTATATAAAAAGGAAAGTCCAAATAAAATAAATAAATAGGCTAAACAGGCGAAAGTATTCTTTATGCAAATAATGCCAATAGTAATAAAAATATGCTCTTAGAAAATGATTAAATTAAACATTTATTTATAAGTACTTTTTTTAATAATTTTTTATATTATTTTTAAAAATAAATAAAAGAATAAGATATAAATAATTGGCCTTAAGATTAATTTCCTAAAGGAAGAAAATGGATTATATAAAATTATAAATAGTGTTTAAGTAAACAAAATAAATAAATAAATATAAAGTTATAAATAAAAATAGATAAAACCTTGCAAGACACTCAATAATAATTAATACATTAATTTCATTTTATGAAAGAATAATTTAAAAATTATTAGCTTTCAAAAATGTATGATTATTTTAATCAAAGAAAGTCCACAGCAACTGAAGATTAGCAAGAATTAGAAAAAGATAACGAACCGATATTATTTAATAATTAAAATTTCAATGAAAGTCAAAATTTGCATTTTTAGCCTGTATGTGATTTCATGTTAGCCTTTATTACTTAGCCAGATGGCGAAAAGTTAATAAAGATAAACATTTAAAATAAAAACTTTATTTTCTTGAATGATTTTGTCATGGATTTAGTGGCTTTTTTCAGAACTCCGTTCAATGGTTCTGATGATATAGAAAGTAAATAACATTTTAGGGCTCCTAATTACAATAATTATCCAGCAATGATAATAAAAATTTAAATTTAAAATTTTTGGGCTCTATTATAGGAAGATCTAACGGATTATAAATAAAACTGTTTAGGAATAAATATGGATGTAAATTATTTATAAGAATGGATAGGAGATAGTGGAATGGGACCAGGAAGTGCTTTAATGGAAATAAAAGCAATGCTAAATCGTGTGTAGATTTTTAAATCAGAATACGTTTATAATTTATATGGAAAATAATTGTAGAATTTTTATAGAAACTCCACAATAAAACTTATGAAAAATTACATGAAAATTAAAGATTAGTCAGAAGATAATAGTAAAGGAATTATTGATGCTCAAAATAGAGATAGTATAAAAAATTAAGATCAAATGAAAAAAAACTAATAATAAGATGAAGAATATGAAAATAAATTACCTATTATAAATTTAGAAAGCAATTAATTAATTATGTAAGATCAAAATTAAAACATAATAATTCCATTCCATATTGAATTTAGTAATAAATATAAAATCGGCTTTTATAAAAATAGATACAATAATAATAATCAATAATAAAATTTTAAACTTTTGGAAGAACTGGATGCTGAAGAAAATGATTATTAAGAAGAAAACCCCTTCACTTAATAAGAAATTCAAATAAAAATTGACAATAGAAAAATCCGTAAATTCCGAAATATAATAATTTGTATTTCGAAAATTAAAAAAATCGTTGGAATAACTTCCAATCTTTTCACCCCTTCTACATATTTAATTTACAAAGAATAATGCCAACAAAAAATAATGTTTAAACCGGAAAAAAACCAAGCCTCTCTAGAAGGTTTGACAAATAATTTTGTCGACTCATAGAATTTCACCTACTATTTTTCTGAATAAACTTAAATTAAAAACCTAGTATATATCAGCCCTTGTGAACCCTAAAGAATGACTTATGAGGAAATTTAATAATAGCAGCCTAATTAATTCAAAGAAAGGTGTATAAACACAATGAAAATAAAAATTTAAAGATTTAAAATAGAAGTATTTAAAAATTCATTTGGTAATTAAATATCTAAATTAAAATTGTCAAAACTAATTCTAAAAAAAATAACTAGAGACGATAATTTTGCCATGGGAATAAAAGGATGTATAAAAATAAAATATTTTAATAAAAGAAGCCTATATTATGAACCATTTTTAGAACCTTGGACTTTCCTAGTTCGTCAAACTCAAACTAATACAGAAAATAAATTTTATGATTAAAAATAATAAGACTCCCTTTTAGAAGTAATGAACTTTATCAAAAAAGAAAAAAAAATATGCAAGAAATAAAAATCTAATCGAAAAAGAAAAACGTAACCTCCCTAAAACGTTATTTTAAATGAAAATTCTTTAAATCTAAACATTAGTACAGCTTTAATAGAAACGGCTTTGGAAGTTTCTCGAATTTACAACGAACCCCAAAGTCATGAAGATCCTTACTAAATTTAAAATAATTTGGGTTTCAGTGTACTTTTTACAGTCGGAGATAAAAAAAAAGTTACTTTTGAAGAAATTCTCATACAGTTCATATAGCAAGGTATCTGCAAAAACATAGAGCCAAAATACGCACAATAGTAAGAAAATACAGGATACTAATAAAAAGGAGGGAGTTTTATAGTAAATTTTATAATACTAAATGAAGATAAAGAAAAAAAACTAAAAAAACTAGAAATTTAATACGTCAATAATATAGCGAACGAAATCTAAAAATAATTAACTTAATCAAAATTTAATACTTAAAACACATAAACGCAAATTTAAATGAATAAATAACAGGTTTTTAATACAAAAGAAATACTAAATATAAATTAGTCGAATACTTTTAACTAAACGAATATTACATTTACCAATATGACAAGTAACTATTAAGAACCCTATAGTCCATATAGTTCAAGTAAAAATATAGAAAATAATTTGAATTTGAAAAAGCCTTAATAGAAAAAAGAAAAGAAAATTTCTGTTGCGAAAAATTTTAGTGAACTTAGGACCATTAATAATATTTCTTTAGATTTTGTAGGAAAGCAATTCTATTAGATTGAGAAATTATAATAGAATATAGAGAATAATGTAAATAATTAAATTAATTAAAATTTTCTTACATAATAAGCATAAAAATTTGATAAAGTGAATGACATTTAAAAATAATAGACATTCAGGGATCTTATTTTTAATAAAAAAAAAAAACTAGAAGGTTCAGATAAGCATTTTTTAGTTGTAGATATCAGTATAGACTAAAAATAAGGTCATAAGATTGTAAAGTTATGTTCGTTAGTGAATTTATATAATAATTTGGATGTAAGAATCAAAATATATTTCTTTGTATGTGAAGACGATGATAAAATTTCCAAATATAGAGACCAAAAAAGTAAGGATAATCAAAAAAATTTATAGTAAGATTAAAATAATGAAAATCGTAAACACTTATTTTCATATATAGAAATAGACTTATTTGAAATATATGAAAAAAATACATTCATAATAGAAAAACAGACTAATTTTACAGTTCCTTTACCTTTTTTATTAAAAACAACATTTGTAGGATTTTAAATATTAGATGATACTGAGAAAAAAAAAATCATTAATTTTTACAGTCTAAACGAACTAATTAGAACAGATAGTTTTTTTTCAGACTACGAAAATGATGAAGAAAATTTATTTTTGGAAGTTTTGGGTTAAGTAGAAGAAAAACAAAGGCTTATCCATAAATAAGATGTGGAAATAAATGCTTAAGAATAGTATTTTTTTATCTCTACAGTAAAAAATAAATAAGATGTCAAATCTATGTATTAAAAAGAAGAATAATAATATTGCTATGATACTTTTCTGGTATTTAATCCTATAATAAAGGTCACTAATGCAACCATTTTTAATTTTTTTATTAATGTAGGAGATAAAGGAATTGTTGAAAAAATAAATATGGATAGATCATATGTTCCTTATAATGTTAAGTGGAATTAATTAATTCAACTACATGTTTTAGATGATAAGTTTTTTAATAAAGATAATGAAAATTAATAAAAAATAGAATTCAAGAAATAATATGTGCAAGCTAAAATCAAAGTTTTCCCTTAAAACTTTAAAAAAACTAAAGTTAAAAAAGTTAAAAATATCTAAAGTAAAACTGATAACTATCTTCATTTAGAATATATTAAAATTTCTAAATATTGTCGTCATATAATAATGTATTTCCCATACGTTATTTAAAATTAAACTTAGCTTCATTTAGTTTATAAAGACATTATAGAATATGGAGAATTAGACCATAATTATAACAATCTATAATCATAGTAAGAAAAAAAAAATACATAATAAAATACTAATAATAATATTAAATTTTCAAATTAATAATAAAATTATGCTAATTAACAAAATTAAAATTTACAGAACAAAAAATTAGTCTTAGATGCTTTAGATTCAACCAAAAAAAATTCTTATATGTAAAATTTCATTAAGTAAATTAGGACTAATAAAATTTTATTGAAATAATAAATGGAAACTATTGCAGTATTTTCTATGTCCAAATCTGTTAAATAAATGAAAATTGCAATTAAAGGCGAGCGAAACAGTTTTAATCATTGGTCAGAAAATATCAATTTATAATAAAAAAATTACGTCACTGTAGCTTTATAAAATGAAGGCTCTATTAAAGATTGCGAAGTCAACATAAATATTATTTAATGTTAAGGAAAGTTTTTTAGAACTAATATTATAGAAATCACACCTAAATATTATATATTTAATTAGACTTAATTAAATTTTGCCATTTATGAATACCATGAGGATTAAAATAATTTATCGTTCTTTTAAACAGTAAGACCATAAATTCCTTTAGAATTTTACTGGCATTCTAAAAATAGTAAGAAAGCAATATTTTTAAGAATTATTGATTAGTCTGAATTACTAAAAAATGAGAACAATAAAAATTAAAAATAAAAAACTTTAAATTTAATAAATATTTAAAATTTAGTAAGTAGTCCTTTTGTAATAAGCGAAGTAAAAATAAATTAAAAAATAATTAATTTAATTATATAAAAATAAAATAAAGTTAAGTGAATTTTCTATAAAAGTTCCTTATTCTAAAAACAACAACAAACAATTTTTCAAATACATAAATGTTAACATAGTTTCCCAAAATAATGTTTTATGTGTAAAAATAACAGAAAAATAGTAACCGCCATATATAATATTCAACTAAACTCATCATGAAATATTTATATAATAACATATTACAAATAAAAAGTAAAACTTTTTGTGTTGTTACAAATAAAAAAAAAACCTATTTACCGAAAAGAAGGTAGTTTTTCCTCGTTAAAGGATTAGATTTACATGGGACCATTGGTTAATAGATGGAGATAAAGAAATAATGGTAGAAATTGAATAAGTTAGACAAATTTATAATTTGGATAAATTAAAAGACTATGGGCCTATTATTTTGCAAAAAAATAATGAATTTAATACTTAATAACAAGAAAATTTAGCAAATAAAAAAAATAAGATTTTATTCAAAAAAGGATATTTGGATATATGTGAGAATTTCTAAGATTCATTTTAATAATATTATTGTGTTTTAAATATCAATAAGTAAAAACTGAAACTCTATGTAAATAAAATTAAAAAATATGCCCTAAATATAATAGGTGCTAAATTAGAATAAAGCCGAAATGGTTTTATCATAACCACTAAGTCTTAAAAAGCAATAGAAATAAGACTTAAATTAGAAACCTAAGAATACATAGAATGGTATAATTGTATCAATTCCTCAATATTAGTAAACACACCTGAAAAGGTGGAATTTAAAATAGAACCTAGAAATGGAACAATGGAAATAACTTTTTTTGTGAGAAATCAAGGAGCAAATGATAAAAAAAAAAATATTTTATAAAATAATATATATACATATGATGAAGACGGGAAACCTTTTAAAACAATAAACTAAGTTAATAAATTACATATAGGTAATATGATAGGGATAAGTATTATAGATAATAGAACTTAAGAGTTATTTTCAATAACTTTAAAAAATTTGCTGTGTATTTTTACGAAGAATATAAAATACATATATGAAGAACATGAAGAGGAAGAAGTTGAAAATAAATAAATTCCAAATAAAATAATGACAATAATGGAAAAAGACGAAAATGAAGAATAATTTTAAAGCTCAGGAAATTTATAAAAAATGAAAGTCGTTTAGAATAGTTTCTTATAGTTAAACGTAGAAAATATTTATATAAATAATTAAAGTGAGTAGGTTTAATATCCTGTTGTCTTTGCTTCAGATAAGAAAAGTGTTGGAGAAAATCCACCGCCCTTTGTTTTTGTGTAAATTAATTGGAAAAATATTAATAATGAATAAGTGAATTTAGTAGAGGAAAATTACTAAGAATAAAAAATTAAAGAAAATAATTAAAATAATGACTAATCTGTAAATTAATTAAAATAGTCTTAACTTTAATAAAAGCATGTGTAAATTAATATAGATTCTTAAGAAGATGTAAAATAGAATATCTAAACATTTACTTCAAATAATTAAGATTAGGGATAATTAATAAATCAAGATGTTCAAATATTAATTAATAATAATTAACAAATTAAAAAAAGCACAGAAATGTAATTAAAATAAAATATGTCAAGGCGAAAAACAAAAAAATAAAGTTATCTAAATTAAGATAATAATTAAAACAATAATAAATAAAATATTTAAAATAATAATATTAATACAGATTAAGATAAAAAAATGATCACATAAGACGAAGATTAAGAAAATATTTAAGTTGAATAAAATTCCGAATCATTAATTTAATTTAATTAGAAATCTGAATAAAACAAAGAAAATATTTAATGGATTAATTCACTTTAAATTTTCATAGATTATTTCGAAATTAAACTAGATTAATAAATAATTTAAACTATTATTTGTTTTAAATCACAATTAGATAAACTTATATATGAAAATCCTGAAAAAATCAAAAAGGAAGTTGTTAGAATTTCATAAAATTTCCAATTTTAAAAATTAGAAACTTTCCTTTTAAATAATTTAAACCAATCAACCACTAATTATAGAAAATCTCTTTATATTAAATAATTGAATTTTTAGCCTATTTATTTTTGCCTGACTTTGAATATGTCTGATAATAAAAAAAAAAAATAATAAGTTTCAGCATTTTCACCTTTATTAATTTTCTCATAATTAGGTTAATATTTATATTTTTGTTTTTATATTATTTTTTAATTTATTTTAAAACAGGACTTGAGCTAGTATCTATCGATTAAGCAAATATAAAATTAAATGCATTAAATTAATCTTTTTTATATAATACACCAGAAAATATTAATGCAAGGATAACTAAACATTATACAACATAATTTATTTAAGAAATATATAAGATTTTAGGCAGTTTTGAAGTTATTGGGAATCCTGTAAAACTTTTGAATGAGATTACAATTAATATTCGTAATTTAATATTAGAGCCTTTAAAAGCTTTAACTCAAGGTGAAGGAAGATAAGCAATTGGTAAAATAGCTTAAGGAATTTTCACATTGATAAAAAATACTTTATATAGTTTATATCAGACTTTTAAAAGCATTACAGGTAAATAAATAAAATAAATATATAATATTATTTATAAAATATTTAAAAGGATTATTTACAAGAATTTTAGTTAAACTAACTTTTCATAAAAAATATTAATAAGAAAGATAAGTAAAAATTAATAGATAAATTAAAAGTTTACATGATGGATTTGTTATCGGTAAGTTTTTTTTTAATAAATAAATAAAATATATTCATACATTATTGAAAGGCGGGAAAAATCTAATAAATTCTTTCTAAGATGCAATTGTAGGATTATATTATAGACCATTGAAAGGTTGTAAAAATAGATCTATTTTAGGATTTTTCTTAGGAATTTATTAAGCAATTGCTTCTTTATTTATAAAACCGTTTGTTGCCGTTTATGATTACACAATTAATATATTTGATGTTTTCTTTTTATATTAATAAAAAATAATTATATATTTTTTTAAAATAAGGGATTACTTAATTAAGCTATTTATGAAGAACATGTAATGGAAATAAGAAGTAGACCTCCTAGATTATTTTAAGATAAAATTGTTAAGTTTGAATACTAGTTAGTTGTTGGAGTTGATATTATGTAGAAACTTAAAATAAATCCTGAAAAATATGAAAGTATATTATATTATGATGAAATAAAAATATCAGAAAGGAATATTAGAGAAGTTGTTTTAACTGATTTAAGGCTAATTTATGCAAAAGTAATTTTTCTTAAATAAAAATATTTATTTTTTTTAAAAAAAAAAGAAAAATACTTAATCTGAATATTAAAAAGTAAGTCTTCATAAAATTCAGAATGTAATTTATATTTTGAAAAAGAAAACTTTTATTTTCTAATATGATGTAAATATAAAAAATATTTTCGGTTTTAATTCTAATGAAATTGTAATAAAATATGGACATAATAGAAAAGCGAGAGAGTTAATGAATATTTTAAAAAGTCATTTCGAATAATAAAAGATTGATGTTAAATTTACTGAAAAATGATTTATTTTAAAAAACATATACATAAATATATATAGTATTAATTAAAAATATAATTTTTTAAATTGTAAAAAATTTCTATTAAATAATTACTTTAGAAGATTATTAATAATTTTATTATTTTAATAAAAAACATATTTTAAAAATTTTATAAAATAATTTTAAAAAATTGTTATATTAAATTAATATAAAATAAATTATGATAAAATTTAAAGAAAAAAAAATTGTAATAATAAATAAAAATGGGAAACGGAAACGAAATTGAAGACTAAACATCAGAATCAAATTAAACAGATAATTTCTAGATATATAAATATCAAACAAATATTCTTACATTAATTTGTAAAAGCATAGTTCTTTTTAATTAGATAAAAAACAAAAACTTTAATAAATATGTATAAAAAAAGGATGAATTAAAAATAAATGCAAATTTTTTATTTGAATAAAATCACAATTATTTGAATAATATCAAAATTTACCATATAAGCAAAATTGATTTAATAAGAAGAAAAATTTTTGAATGCTTAATTATTTGGATAAGGAATTTCTTTTTATCCTTCGAAGTATATATATGGAAAGAATCAAAAATAATGGAATGGATGACGAATCAATTTTTTATTTTACTAATGGAAATATTTATTGTGGAGAAGAAAAATAAAAAATAAATGGATTTGGAAGTAGATTTTATTAATTAAGTTTATTAAAGATTTAAAAGTTTTCATTATTAAAATATATATTATTAGGATATTGACTAATAATAAATATGAAGGATATAAAAACATATATACAAATGATGGCAAATTTTATTTTTTTATATTATATTCAAATGTTAGAGAAGTTAAATAAATAAAGGAGAAGATGTTATTTTTCCAGAAAATTCCAAAAATATTGGCTTGTTAATTAATAAGAATAAATTAATTATAATAATATAATGAGTAACTATTTTGTAAAATAAAAAATATTATAAAATTTTACAAAAAGTTATATTTTTTCAAAAGCTATTTATCAATTTTTGCTTTATGTATAAATAATTATCGATACATTATGTATTCTTTTTTTTATAATATATAAAAATTTAAATATTATATTTATTTTTAGTTAAAAATATATAAAAATATTTATTAAAATTTTATATTTATATAAGTTAATTACTATATATATATAAAACATAATATTATTATCTATTGAATTATAGCAAATAATTTATATTTTTTTAAATATTTATATATAATATAAATTTTTTTTTAAATAAAAATGATTGAATAAGACGTTTAATTTTTAAATTAAAGATAAATAAGATTTATAAAGGCATTTCTAACATTAATATTATTAATATTAATATCCGTAGCCCATTATTAACTTTTACCAAGAGAGAAATATAAATAAATTCATGACCCATTTATGGAATATTTAACAAAAATAAACGAAAAAGTAAACTAAGATAATTTAATTGCAAAATTGTTATAAGTATCCAGTTCAATATGTATAGATTTTAGTTTTTTAACATTATTTACATATTGGGTTTTTTATATAAATACAGGAAGAGTTTTATATTCAATGGCTGCTTTTTATATATCGAGAAATATAATTTAAAAAATAATTATTTTTCCACATCCTTAAGGAATTATTTGGGATAATCCTGGTTTTCCTTCTTTGACAATTCCATACGGAACTTCGAGTGATTTTTTTTGGTCTGGACATTGCGGGTTTTTAACTTTAGTGATGTTAGAATGGATAAAAAATAAAAAATATTGGTTTGCACTTTTAACATTTTATATAAATATATATATGATAATTGTTATGGTGGCCTTTAGGATACATTATACTGTGGATATTATCGTTGGGATATTAGTAGGACATTATTGTTATATAATATTTTCTTAATATGCTCAAAATATTGATGAGTTTTTAAAAATGATTGTTTATTTTTTTAAAAATAAAAACAATAATATTTCAAATTTGTAAAATTAATTAGATTCATAAAATATTTCTAAAATGTAGAAAAATGAATTATGAATTTTTATTTACATTTAAATTTTTTTTTTTTTTTTTAATTTTTAATTTGTTCTTTTAAATTATTATGTTCTTTTTTTTCTCTGTTATTATAAACAATATATAAAAATATACATTTTTAATGACTGTTTATGAAAAAAAAAAAAATTGTATTTTTTTGTTTTTATTTATTTAAATATTTTATGTTTTTTTTTTATTAATATTAATCTAAAATAATAAAAATTAATAAATTAATTTAAAAAATAAAAAATAAAAAAACTAAAATTAAAATTAAAATAAATTATAAAACATTTGCAATACTTAAATTAAATTAAAAAAACTGATCTTATAATATTATCTTTATATCATAAAAAGTCAGTAATTATTAAAAAAGGTTGCGAAGATTAATATTATCAAACTTTCAATAATTTATAATCCGTTTAATATATCATTATAATTTAAATAAAATATCAGTGTTGCAAATATTTTAAAATTACCTATATATTAAAAAATAGTCAATTAATATTACTAGCCATTCTTTTAATCATCGGTGATTCGGAATCTGCTGAATTACCCTTTCCAGGTTTAGGTGATTTATCTCTTCCAGAAGACATTGCTTAATAATCATAAGGATCATCTTTCGCAGCTTCAATATACGACAATTTTTTAGAATTACCTCTAGAAATAGATTCTTTCCTTTAAAAAGCTTAATGATGATTTTTTTTTGAAGGCGAATCTTAAATTTAATCTTATTAAATATTTTAAAAATTAATATTTTTAATTTATTCTTTGAAATTAATTTCCTACTCAAGTTATTTTTGATGTTATTTTTTGATTTAATTTTAGAATGAGATTTTGATTTAATTTTCAACATCAACGTATTGATTTTAGATATTTTCCAAAAAATTTTTTTACCAATCCATTAACTATAAAATTTTACCCTAATCATATTATTTCGTCTACCAAATCTTTTATTCCATCTAAAATTATATTTTTATTAATAACATTTCTTTTTCTCTTTTCAAATAAATATCTTCCTACCCAACTTTTTATTCTTAAGAAATCCTAAAAAACTAATCATGATAATAAGCGAGGTTATTTTATTACATATCCTTGTAACTTTCCCTTAACTATTTATTTTTCAAATCTTAGTCTAAAAATTTGCAATTTTCTTCATATACTTTATCATATTTTTACTTTATTTCATCTATTTACTCCTATATTTCTTCATAAGTTAATTATTTTTGATTTTTATTCGAAGGCGAGTAATCCTCTTCTAATTAAATAATAGCATTTTCCTACCTCATAAAGCCTTTAAATTAATTCTTTTTTTTCAAAAAACCTTTTTCCTATTTTTTCTATTTATGATTGAAAATAAGTTCCTCTTCTTTTTCATCTTAAAATTTGAATTATTATTATTTTTTAAAACCTTTATATTATTATTCTTAAGATGCCATTGATAAGTCAATATTTTTTAATTTTTGGTTTTTTTCTTCTTAAGTAATTAGTTTTTCCTTTAATTTGTTTATCATTTATTATCTGTTTTAGTCTTCTTCTTCATCATCTAAATTATATTCGTCCTCATTTACTTCCTCTGAGTTTTTTTTTTCTTACTCGGTGTCATTTTTGTTATCTTTTCTATTTTCTTTTTCTTCTTATTATTGTTGTTGGCGAAGTTATTCTTCTATTTCTAGTTATTATCGGTATTTTTCCTGGAATCTTTTTTCTTCTTCTTCTTATTTTTTTTTTTTTTCTTCTTCTTATTCCTATTATTATTTTAATGTTTCTTCTTCTTCTTATTTTTATTTTCTTTTGTTATCATCTTCTTTTTTTAATCTTTCTTATTCTTCTTTTTATTTTCTTTCCTCTTCTTCTTATTTTTTTTTTAATCTTTTTTTTTCTTCTTCTTCATCTTTTTTTAATCTTTCTTCCTCTTCTAGTTATATTTATTTTTCTTTTTCTTATTTATTTCTTACTTCATCTAATATTTTCTGAATTTCTTCTTATTATTTCTTAAACTTGAATTCTTCTTCTTCTTATTATTATTATTTTAATAATTATTCTAGTTTTTATTAATCTTATTCTTGCTTTATTTATATTTCTAATTCTTCTTACTTTCTTTACTATTCTTATTCCTATAATAATAATTCTTCTTATAATTATTTTTCTTCTTTGTTTCTTTTTTCCTCTTCTTCTTTTAATTTTTATTCTTCTTCTCTTTTTAATTTTTCTTCTACTTATTTTAATCTTTCTTATTCTTCTTTTTTCCTTTCTTCTTCTTTTTTTAATATTTCTTCTTATTCTTCTTATTCTTTTATTAATCTTTCTTCTTCTTCCTTTTTTAATTTTTCCTCTTCTTCTTTTTTCTTTTGTTTCTCATAATCGTTTTATTTAACTAATTTTTCTACTTTTTTCTATTCTTCTTCTTTTTTCATCTTTTCCTCATCCAATTTCACCTACTCATCTTTATCTTTTTCAATACAACATTAATTATTCCCTCCTCCAACCTAAACTTTCAACAAAAAGTACTTTTTTAACAAAACTTACTCTTTATAACTAGCTTTCTACCTCATTTTCTAGCTCATTTACTACCTTTCATATTCTTTATAAATTGCCATTTCATCTTCCTAGTTATCTACATTTCCGATTCCTACACCATCCAAAAAATCTTCAAATTTTCCCAAATCCCTGCATCCTTTTTCCCTCAAAAGGTCTAAATTTTCCATAAAACTTATCCATTTTCCATTCCTATATCCCAAAAACTCCGTATTAGTACTTTACTCTCTACATTTAATAAAAAATCTATCAAGCATTTCCCCCATTCTGACAACATTTCCTAAAAATCCCTTATTTATTTTCCTCTCTTTATTAAATACAAATTATAAACTTTGTGTATTTTCAATCATAAAATCAACTAATCTACTTTTTTCCTGAATCTCCCTTAAATACTCTTTTAGGTATTTATTTTTATCCAAATTTTCTAAAATCCCTCTTAAAAACTCCAAAACTTTTAACTACATAATATTATTCCATTAAAACTTAAAAAAAACTTCCCAAATTTTCCCAAATCCCCCATTTTCTTTCAAAACACTACTCACAAAAGGAAATTAAATAAATACAATTGCTTAATAAATTTCTATAATTTTCAGTCTTTCCACCCCGCAATATTTTTCCTCTTCTTTTAATTCCAAAATCTTCTAAAATTCCCCAAAATGATTCTTCAAGCTTTAAAAAAATTACATTTCTTCAAATTAAACAAGCATAATCTCATAATGCTCCGATCCTTCCTAGTAACTCTTCATGAAATTAGCAGAAGAATCCCCATAATAAACACAAACAGCTCTAATAATGTCCAAGCAACATTTTCTAACAATTTTTTTCCCCTTTAAAAACATCTCAAAAATCTATAAAATTATTTTATTAGAAGTTATTAAGTCAATCAACTACTACCCATCCACAATAATGAAATATTTTCCAATAATCTCACATATAAGACTCGAGAAATTCAAAACTTAATCATCTTACATTTCTTAGAAATTAAAAATTTCCTTTTCTATAATTTCTATTTTCCTCTCTTAAATCCTCGAAACTAAAAGTGCACCTTATTTACCTTATTTAGCATTTTCTACCAAAAAAGCATTTCTTGCAATAATCAAAATAGAGTCATTATAAATATGTTTCATTATATTTTCCAAAACATCCTCTTATAAAATTAAATATTCAATCATCGAATTTTATTTTGTTTTTAATAAATTTAAAATTAAATTCATAAAATAATTTGATAAAACTTCATTAATATTTATTTTATTTTCAATAAACTCAAATAATTTATTCATATTAGGCCAATTATATTTTTTTTTGCAAACATTTTCTTCTTCACAGGCGGCAGTTAATCTTTGACTTTAAAAAAATGATAACATCATCGTCGGAACTTCGCAATTAAATACTTCATTTGCTCCTAAAGGAAATTTATAACCGCGATCGTGATTAGACGGGTCGGGAGATTCTATAGTGATATATTCGATTAGTATTTTTATTAGTTTTGGGTTATGGCGAAAAAAATCAATTAATTTTGGATTTAAACGCTTAAATTCGGCTGTAAGCTCTTCATAATTATTTATTAAGTCTATGAATATGGTTTCTGGATCGTTATTGTTTTTGTTTTAGAGTAAATACTAAATTTTATTAGCATCTTAGGTCCAATTCATTTAATTTTTATATTTTAGATTTTAATTAAATATTAATTGATATTTTTTTTATTTATTTTTTTCTATTTTATATTATTAATTATTAATGCTTTTTTTTTTTAATTTAATATATATTTTTTATTTATATAATATTATTTTTCTTAAATATAAAAAATTCAATTAATAAAATAAATTTTTATAAATTGATTAACAATGGATCTTATAACTTATGTTTTAAAAATTATATATAAACTAAAATATTAAATTAACATTAATTTATTGTAAATATATAATGTAAGTTTAACTTCGCACTATATATTTTAATATGAATAACCATTAAGAAATTATTTTATACATTAAAATATATATACAAATAATATATTTAACATTTATTTTATTTTAATAATATATAAATAATTATTTTACTATTCATTATATTTAAAATCACTATATTTTTTATTTTTTTTTATACTTTTTATTTATAAAAATCTTTATAATTTATTTAGACATTTAAAGTTCATATTTTTAAATCAAAATAAATAAATATTTTATAAATTTTAAAAATATACATATAATTTAACAACAATTTAATATATAATTTAATTTTAGAAATATTTATAACTATAAAAATAAAATTATAAATATAATAAGAAAAAAAAAAATTATATATGAAAAAATTTAATTTTTTAACTAAAAAACAATATAGACTAAATTTTCAAATATATTTTTTCTTATACATTAAGAAAATCTTTAAAAAAAGTAATAATAAATTTATAAACCTTTAATTCTTTAAATTCTATTTTTTCTTAATCTATATGGACTCGCAATAATATGTTAGAATAAAAAAAAAAATGAAAATTCTCAAACATTTGAATTATGGATAACAATATCTTTATATAGCCAAATATTTTCTTTTTGTGGAATTCTATAAACTTAGATTATATACTATATTACATTGACATTATTTCTTATAATAGATTGCATATTCATTTATTTTTTCTTTGCTTTAATAAATTTGCCAAAAGAAAAAATTTTAAATTAAAATAATAAAATTCATTATAAACTATTTTTTTTTTTAAACTATTTAGATTTTTTCAAATGGCTATATTTTAACGTCAGAGTAAATTTATTTTTTTCTTACTTTTATTGTACTTAAAAAATCTCAGAATATATTTTTACATGCAAATACTTTGCTTACCTACCCTCATAAGATAAATATTTTCTAATACTTATATACATAAGTTTATTTTTATTCATACTATGTTTTATAATAAACATTATTATTAACCATACATATGAACTAATTCCTCTAAATCCTCTAAAAACTTTATATTCAAAAATTATTTTTATTGAATATTTTATGATTTCAGCTCTAAATTTATGCATATTTATAAAAAACAACATATATTTGTATATAATAGCATGTTTACTTTTTTTATTTTATTTTTTGAGTTTTTTTAAAAATTTCCTATATATGGGGTTTACTATACCTTTTATTATTTAAGAATTTTGAGCATTTTTTTTATCGCTTACATATTATTAATTATAAGAGAATATTCCAATATACTAAAAGATAATTTCCATTTAGAATTTTTTTTATTTTTTTCTCTATTAGTATTCTGGCTATTATAAGGTATCTAAAATAAATTAAACTCTTAAGTTTATTAACTAATAATTTGCAAAAATTATGAAAATATAGCCATAATAAGCTATTATTTATAAATTTTAATAAAAATGTTCGAAAAATCTGAATTCGATATTAAATCTCAAATTACATTACATGGAGTCCTTTATTTTCATTAGAATAAATGCAGAGATGCAAACTGTCCATGTTAATTAGAATCCTAACAATTTTTAAATATTCTATATAATAAAAGTTATTAGTAAAGTATTTCATTTATTAATTCAGAAAAGAATACAAGTTAACAAATTAAAAGTTAAACATTAGAAAATAGTTAGAATGTAAATATTTATTTTAATAAAAAATATATTTATTTAAACTAGCCCTAATAATAAATATAAGATCTTTAAAAAAAAACTTTTTTTAAATTATACACGAAAAAAATCTCTTTAAATATTGGATATATGAATTTATAAACTATCATTTTTTAAATTTAATAAAATAATTAAAAAAATAAAAAAATGAAAATATAGATTCTTTTTGTTTAAAATATTGGTACTTTTTAATAAATAATCGTAATAATAAAATAAATGCTTTTTTTATGATAACAATATAAAGTTAAGAAATTTCCAAAAATTTTTTTAATAAAACTATCCAATAATTCATAATAAATTTTATCGAAAATCAAATAAAAAACTAAGATAGGTCTCTAAACTATTCTTTTAGAAAAAAAGATTAACAAAATTCTTTATAATACCAGCTTTTTGAAAAAATAGTACTAAATGAAGAAAAGAAAGATATTTTTAAACAATAAATAATCCTCCTTTTAGAAAAGAAAATTTAAATTTTCATAAACCTAATAAACGGTTATAAATCCTTATTAGAGATGCAAAAAGATTTCGTTTTTTTAATTAACTAAACTTATTTTTTAGAAGATAAAATTCAAACATAATTAAAACAATAAAAAAATAATTTGCATTTTTTGAAAATGCTAACAATTATAAACACTCGAATTCTCACTAAACATACGAATGCAATAAAATATGAAGATAGATTATAAGAATTAATAAGTAAAAGCCTATAAATAAATAAGAATATGATAAATTCTTTAAATATTTTAAAAGGAAATGTAGTATCAATAATAGCCTCATTTTAAAAAAAAAAAGGTAAAATAATAAAATATTCGGAAAGAACTCCTCAATTCTTCGGTTATAAAAAAGCCGAATTCGATTATAATGTACAAACAGTTTTAAATTTAATGCCAAATGCAATTTCTTCTATACACGAAAGGATTATAGAAAAATTTATTATTACAGGAAAAGGAAATATAATGAGAACTTATAGACAATCTATTTCTTAAGATAAGAAAGGTTTTCTATTTCCAATAAACATATATATAAATTATTATTTTAATTTAAATAATGATTTTGTGTTTTCGGCTTTAATTTTGAAATTATAAAGTTCTTCCTATTTTTTTCTTTTAAATGAGAATCTTTAAATTTAAGGTTGTAATTTTTAAATAATAAAATTTTTTAAACAAAATGATTCTATTATTAAGAAAGAAAACATAATAGGAATTCCTATATAATTGATTTTTCCAGAAATAGATTAAATTTTTTTTTAATATTTCGGAGAAAAATAAAAAAAAAATACTCAAAATTTTAAATAAATTATGATATTACCTTCCTAACTTTCATCTTTTTACTAATCTTTTAAAAATTTTAAACACGAAAAATTCAAATAATAATAAAGTGCTTCCAAAATAAATATTCTAAACGAATTTTTAAGCGAAAAAAGTTTAAGATTTTTCAATGAAGAAGTTTATGCTTTCGACTGCAATTTGATTTTAACATAAGAAATTTTTGAATTAATCGATAATAATTAAAAAAAGATGTATATAATAGAAATCTAAGATATCATTCCTCTAAATATTATCTAATAAATCAAATAATAATAACAGATAAATAAATAAGAATCATCTTCCTTACAATAACAGCAAGAAAAAGATAGTAATTCTTTAAAAAACTTTGTTTCTTAAAATTCTGTTAGTTCAAATTATTCGATTTCAATTTAAAAAAGAAATACTTTAAAATCAAGTAAATACTAACTTAATTCTAGTATGAAAATAAAAAATACTGAATATAATAGTTGTGAAATTGTAGAAACTAACAGTAGTAAAAGTAGCAGATAACATGAAATAAACATCCCAAATAATTTCAAATAAACAAATATCCATATTTAAAAAGAAGAAATCGATGAATCAGTTAGTAATAATATATCATCTATTTCTAATAATATCAATAATAGTTTTAATAATGTTTTTTAAATTCTTTCTTTTACAAATAATAATGATTTAGTTAATATAAGCAATCGAGATTCTTATTTTTTAGAATAAAAATATAATTAAAATAAAGAATTAAATATTGATAATATAAAATAAAAAAAATAATAATTACTCTAAAAAAAAATATCACCTAATTTATCAAAATAATAAATATAGTCTATAAATAAGATGTTTGACGAAAAATAATATATTACTTAAGTTTCTTTAATATAAGATAATAAACTAAATCCTATGCAAAATGTAATAAAAATTATTAAAGAAACAGCTAATAATTAAAACATGATTTCATGCACATAACAAAAAATAGATTCAGTATTATATTAAATAATTATTAATTTATATATAAAAATTTAAATAAAAATTAAATAAAAAAGAAAAAAAAACTAATTAATTTAATTATATATATATATATATATATATATATATATATATATTTATATATATATACATTTATACATAATTTTTTAGTTTCATTTTTAAAGTTCTTATTAAAATTCTTAAAGTAAATGCTATTCTGTAGAATCTTATAAACTAAAATATATTGCAAAAACAGAAAAAAGCAAATAAAAAATTGAAAAAAAAAAAATTAAAAAAAATTAAACATAATAATAAAAGATTGAACAAATAATAAATAATGTAAAGTTTCCATTGTTTTTTAAATATTTTTGGTTTTTTTTAATACTAAAATTAATATTTTTTATTTTTATTTGTAATTTTATTAACTATCTCTTCAATTAAAAATTTGAAGCAATTAAAAAAATTGAAGAAATAATGAATTTAAACTCTATTGTATTAACTTCTTATTTTTAAACTTTAATAAACTTAAATACATTTTCTTAAAGAAATATAAATAATTAAACTGGTCTTTTATAATTTTAATAAGAAATGCTAAATATATCATTTAATTTGTATAAATCAAACTTAAAAAATATAATTTAATATCAATTAGATGACTAAGACTTCCAAAAAATATATTTTTATGAAAATTTCGGAAATTTAAATATAATTAACTCAAATTAAAAAGAATAAATTTAAACGTCATTTTATTAATAACTAAACTTCATTCTATAAATAAATAGTCAATTATTATAAAAAAATTAACTATAAAATAAGTACATATTAAATACTACTTTAATAAATTTTACAAAAGCAACCCAAAAAATCGAGCAAACTATCAGAAACAAAATAAATGAATTACTATATTAAATACAAGTATTAAATTTATAGACTTTTATAATTTTAATCTCTATAATTTTGATTAGCTTTATAATAGGTATAAACCCTATTTTAAAATACAATTTTTTAATGAAAAAAATCTCCCTATTATCTTCTCGAATTACCTAAAATGAAGCTGAATATGAAATTCAATATTGTCAAAAAGTTGTTTACATATTAAAACAAAGCACCGAAAAGTATTTTTAAATTAATTTTTGTTTAGATATCGATAAAAACTTTAAAGAATCAGCTTCTTCAGTAGGATTTACTACCATTTATAATGCCGAATAATAAAAAAAGTTAAACCAAAAAAATTAAAAAAAATCTAACTATTTAAGTGATCGAATAAATGAATTTGATTTGAAATTAGTTCGACAAATTTTAATGTTTTTATCATTTAATTTTTTTACAGTAGCAATTTTCCATTTCATTTATATATATATACATTTTTTCTAGAAAAAAATAGAAAATTTTTATACTTTCTATTAAGATTTTGTCTTAAATTTTTATAATTTCTCTATAATGGAGTCTATAAATGTAATTTTTTTTGAATAAAAATTGCTAGAAGGATAAGAAAGTTATTCTTATTTAAAATTAGAAAACTAGTATTATAACGAATTAAACTTTTTTAAAAAATAAGCATTTAATGATTCAAATAATTTCCTAAATAATATATTTACTTCTAAAATTATTTAAATACAGTAAAATCCTCAATTATAAACATATTTAAATTCTCTAAATTAAAATAACATATGCTTAATATAGAAAACTTTTACTATTTTTTAATAATAACTATGTTCCAAAAACATTAATGGAATAATGAAACAAGGACTAACTTAAAGTTTAAATTTTATATTTTAATAATCGAAAATATTTGAATAAGAAAATTGGAATTAAAAATTCATACATGATTATTTTAATAAATAATAATATAATTAATTAGTAATAATTATTTAATTAATATAGGTTTTATTTGTAGAAGTAATTAATTTTTTTTTATAGAATTCCATTTTATAATTGGAAAATTAATAATAAACTATAAGAAATTTTTATATTTTAGGATAACTATTGAATTTAGTTTAATTTATAATTGTTTTTTTTTACTTTAGTTATAATATAAATAGAAATTATATCAGCTTAAGAAAAAGCCTTAATTTTATACCTTTAAAAAGAATGTAAGAGGATAAAACAACACTTATCTTAATTTAAAAAGCTGTAAAGGATTTTTGAAAAAAAAATTAATTATATATATAATTTGTATTCTTGTAATAAAAAATAAAAAAATTAAATATAAATTTTATATTATTAATAAAATATATATTATATAATATATTTTATATATTATATTAAGTGTAATATCATTAAAAAATACAAGCTTAAATATATAATTCCCATAAAAACAAGATGTATCATAAATGTAAATTAGTTAGGAGGAGAATATGATTTGTGTTATTCTGAAGTAGCTTATTAATATCCTTTATCAATAAAAAAACCAAGACATTATTTTAAATTTTTATATTAAAAAAAGTTTATAAAGAAAGTATTTTTCAAATGTTTTCATTAGTTATTTTTCCTTCACACATACATTAAAATCATTTCGTTAAAAGTTTTATTATATAGAATTTATAGAGCATAATTTTTTTTAAACAGGAATAAAGTAGTTTTTAGAATTTATTTTCTGCAATTTTTATAATAATAATAAAATTAATATTATATAATAATAAGTATAATATAAAGATTAAATATTTTTTATATTTTTTTTTATTTAAAACTATATAAATTATAAATCTAGATTTAATATATTTAAATATATTTTATTTTTTAAATTATTAAATTAAAATAATATATAATTTATCTTATTAAAAATTATTATTAATAAAATTACTTATATATTAGAATAGAGGTAAAAATTCTATATTATTTTAATAATAAATATTTTTATTTAATTAATTATATTTTTTTTAATATGATATAAGATTATATTTTTTTATTATTAAAATAAATATATTTTAATTTTAAAATTAATAATAAAAGTTTTTAGTTTTTACATTTAATATTATCTTTTTTTACTTATTTTTAATAAAATATTTACAACTAAAATAGATAACACTATAATACTTTAGCTATTTATTTTCAATTTTTTTATTTTTAATAAATAATTTAAATATAATAATATGATTTATTAGAAAATATATTTAGGTTAAATAAATAATTTATGTCATTTATAAATAATACCTAAAATATAAAATCTAATTTTTATAAAAATAAAATAAATTCTTTTTATAAAAAAAAATTATTAAAATTTATTTAAAAAAAAGAATATTCATTAACTTTTTCTATCAATTATTTTTTACATTTAATGTTTTTAAAAATTATAATATGGAGATCATTTTTTTTATTAGATTTTATTAAAGATTTTATAAAATATTTTAAGAAAAAAATAAAAATACTTTTTAATATAGATATATATATATATATATATATATGTAATTTGTTTCAAAATTTAACCTATTAAATTTTATCAATACTATCAACATTAAATTGATCATTTTTTATTCCAATATTGTTAAAATTTAAGGTAGGTAAAGAAAATCCTTAATTATGTTTTAATTTACTTTCGTTTCCATCATTATTTTATTTTTTCGTTAAAGCTGAAGGAACATAAGATTACTTAATATTTAATTCTTCTTAAAGACTATTTTTTCCTGATTCAGCAGCTTTGTTTTTAAATCTTGTACTAAATCCTTAATTTTACTTCTCATCAATACTATTTTATTAATTATTAACATCATCTTCCAAAAAGATATTTTTATTATAATTACTATTGTTAACCATTTAATTATTATTATTCCTCACTCTCTTAACGTTTTTCGTAGGAATGTATTTTCCTAAAATTTCGTCCATATTTTGATTATTTGTATACTCTTCTTCAGCCTCAAATACATTTTTTATTTAATTTTGTTATTTTTTATTAAAATAATTTATTTATTCACTACTATCTCTCTACTATGTTTATTTTACATTTTAATTTTTTAAATTTCTAACATCATTATTTAAAAACTCATATATAGGATCATAATTTTTACTATTGAAATTATACCCTTATTATTATTTATCACTTGTATTTTTATAATTCATAATCTCATTCTCATATTTATAGTTTCTTAAAAAAAATAAATAAAAAAAACTTAAAATAATTATATAGTTTTTTCTTTACTAAAAAATTCTATCAGGAGACATACTTGTTATATTAGGTGATTTCTAAGGAAGACTTTTATGGAATTAATGGTCAAATTATAAATTATTATTTGCCCCGTCATAAGCCATAGGAGATGGATACCTTTTTTGCATATTGTTTTGAATATTAGTACCTAAAATATAAGAATTATTGTTATTATTATTATTTATTTAGAAATTATTATTATTTTATTTATTATTTTCATTGTTTGAAGTATTATAATTAATATTAGAAAATTAATTATTATTATTCTAATTATTGTTCAATGCTTTTTATTAATCATTATTATTTTATGAAATACTGATATTATTATTAAAATTATTGTTATTATTACTAAAATTATTAATATTACTACAATTATTATTATAATTATTATTATTATTATTTAAATTATTATATTATTTAATTTCTTCTGGCAATTCCACATTATTAAAATAAGGATGCTAAAGTATTTTAGCCGTAGTAATTCTTTTATGTGGATCCCACTTAATACATTCTTAAATCAAATTAATTGCATCAGGACTAGCTCCTGGGATAACTTAACTCCATTGCATTTATTAATATTAAGGGAAATTAAAATGTTTTTAAGAGGCCAAAATATATCCATCAGCCCAATCACTTTTTTAAGGAGTTCCCAAAACAGAAGTAATTTTTTATAATTGATCAATTTCCGAAGTCCCAGAAAAAAGAGGTTTCATTAAATACAATTCCGCCATAATACATCCTAAAGCAAAAATATCAACTGGGCTATTATAATTAGTTGATCTTAAAAGAATTTCAGGTGCTCTATACCATCTAGTAGATACATAATCAGTATAAGGGGGTCTTGACCTTATTTCTCTTGCAAGTCCAAAATCAATCAATTTTATTATATTATCGGATGTTATCAACAGATTTTCAGGTTTCAAATCTCTGTGAAAAAAACCGTGTTTATGCATATATGCTAGGGCTGAAGTTATTTAATATACAATCGTTTTTATTGTGTTTTCTGGTAGTTATGTAATTCCTTCGGTTTTGGCGTTGTCATATAGTTTAAATAGATTACGGTCGGCATATTCAAAAACGAATGAAAGTTCTTTTTTTACTCTAAAAACTTCTTTCAATTTTATTATGTTAATATGGTTTAATTTTTTCAAAGATTTTAATTCACGAAGGTTTATACATTCTTCCCATGTCTCGTATTCTTGGACCATCTTTTTTATGGCGACTATTTCTTGGGTCTCAAGGTTTTAGGCTTTACTTACTATTCCAAATGCTCCTCGTCCTATTTCTTATAATATATTGTATTTTTCCATATATTTATTTTTTTGTTTTCTATATATTTTTTTTTATTATTTATTTATTGTATTTTTTTATTTATTTATTTACTTTTTATGTTTATTTTTATTATTAATTTTTATAAAAGTTAATATTTATATCATCTTTTATTATATAAATATTGTTTCATTGTATCAGTGCTTAATCATTGCTTATTATTTAATATGGTAATTGATCTTATATTTTGAAAATAAATTAATTTTAATATTTAAATATAATTTATATTTATTTAAAAATAAATAAACAACTTCAATTTAATGACTTTTTTATAATTAAAAATAGTAAAATATAAAATTAAAAAATATAAGAAATATAGATTTTATAAAAAGGAATATAATTAATTTTAAAATTAAACATTTTTTAAAATTGTTTCTCATCATATATTCCTTCTAATATTTATAAGTAATTTTTTTAAAAAAATAATATTTTATTTATATATTTTTGTATTTTATAATTACATATATAATTTTAAATAAATTATAAATATCAATAATATTGTATATTATAATATTTTTTGTTATTTTATATCAATATAATTTAAACATTATTCAACATTTTAATTATGTATAGTAGTTTATTATATCTAAAATCTAATTTATAAACATTATTTTTAAAAAACTTCTTTTAAATATTATATCTTCTATATAAATAATTTAAAACATGTATTTTTTTAAAAAAAAATTAAATATAAAATGGGATTTTCTATCGACATAAATTAAATTATAATATAAATTTTAAATACAAGAGATTCTAAAAATTTAAATTAAACGAAAATTAATAAAGTTGGTAAAAATTAAATTTAAGAGATTTTGTATATATTTATATTATAAAATTAAAAATATGTAAAAAAAAAAAAAAAAAATTTCTTGAATACCTTTTTTTAATAATTATTAATAAATTACTCGTATTATGTGAATAAATTTATTTTTTATATTTTCTAACACTAATTATTCTAATAATAATATATATTTTATATTGTCATTATATAATATTTTTATATATTTTTTTTTTTAATTGAATTATAATTGCTTTTATAATAAAAAATAATTTCATAAATAACTAATTATCAATCTAAAATAAATAATTAAATAAAAGAGATTGATAAAGAATTATAATGTAAAGATAAAATATATATATGCTTATAAAATTTTTATGTTATAATAATTTTATATATAAAATAAAATTAAAAACATATCTAGATTCAAACTTAGATAAGTTATTTTTAATAAAATTTAAAATAAAAAAAAATTCTGTATAACAAATTTATTAATCAAACTAAATTTTAGAATATTATAAAAATAGGTTGTGAATCAAACGAGAATTTATTTAACTATGAAAATTTAAATCTCCAATTGCAAAAATGCATAAAACTAACTCTTAAGAAAAGAATATTATATATTAAATTAATTAAATCATCCTAATAATATATAAGCAGAAGTTTTTTTTTGACGATTTATAATTGAATTAATTTTCAATCTAAACTATAAACTTAAGTTTAAGATTCTGTAATTGAATTTTCTTAATAATTCTTACAATGTTATTCGAAAAGAATGCTTTAAATATAAAAAAAAATATTTCCATTAAATTGCAAAGCTATATAAATCATAACGATGATGTAAAATTAGAAAATATTATTATTTTTGTAAAAAAAAAATATGAAATTTTATGTATTAATAAATAATAAAAAGATATATAAAACTGACAAAATAATGGCTTTAATTAAGTTTCATTCTTAGAATAATTTGCATGTGAAAAAGACGAAATTAATTAATTTATTTTTTATGAAGTTTTATAGAGTATTAGAAATTAAATTATGTTCTAATTAAATAAAAGATTAATTAAATTATAAATAAAAAAATATATATATTTATTATAATAATTTTTTTTTTGTATAATATCATAAGTTTAATTATATAAACTAAAAATAAATTTAGAATAAAGAGTTAAAAAATTATTATTTTATATATAAATATACTTTTATAATTAAAAATATTAATAATATATTTTATATACGAAATTAATAAAAAATTATATTATAATAAAATTTAATACATACAATAATTTTTATTATAAAGATATAGGAAAAATAAAATAATTTATAATTTATTTTATAATATTATATTAATTAATTATACTGTATTAATATAATTAGATATTATATATATGTTTTGTTTTAAAATTTATTATTCAAAGTCTAAAATTTTAACAATTTATTATTTTATAATAATAAAAACTATAAAATATTGTATTGTAATAAATATTATATATTTTTGGCTTTTTTTATTCTTAATTTATCCAAAAGAAACATTACAATTTAAAAATAATAGAATTTTTATAATTTAATTAACATAGAATTTAATAAAATAACTTTATTAAGTAATAATGTGTTATTTTAATAATAAAAATAATATATTTTTTTTATAAAAAAAATTACTTAAACAAAAATAATAAGAATATTATTAGAATATTTTATTATATTATTTATATATATTTTTAATTTTTACCAATAAAGATTAAAAGTTTATCAGTATTTTAATTTTTTTTATTAAATTTATTTATTATTTCTATTAAAAATGTTATTAATATATTATTACTTATATGATTTAATTTATACCTTTTATATCTAATGATATTATAAATAACAATTTTTATTTATACTTCCAATACATTTCTTATTTTTTATTATTGAATAAATTATAGTACTTGAATTTTACTTATTATAAAATCGTAATTTCCTATAATAATATTTATATTTAAATAAAATATGAATTTTTATATACATAAAAAAGATTTAAAATTATATATTCAATATAAAAAATATATAAATTAATCAAAATATTAATTCTAATATAATCTAAATAAATAATCTATCTTATAATATAAATTATATATTATATAATTTAATTCAATAATATTATTTTTATTTATCAATAACATTATTTAAATTTAAAATTATAATTATAAATTTTATCATTGTTCATATAACAATAATTTCGTTTCTATTTTCTTATAGGATTTTTTAAAGCGGTCATTTATTATTAAATAATTATATTTAGTTATTTATAAATAACTATTTTTTTTTTTACTGCCAAAAATTATCTAAATTATATTAAATTTAATTCTTTTTATATTTAAATTATTTTCGTTACCTAAACTATTTTATTTTCTTAATTTTTGTTTCATTTACTTTTTATTGAAATAATTATCTAAAGTTTAAAAATTGTTAAATATTTTTTAAATTATCTTCTTTTATATAAAAATAGCTTTTTTTTTTCATTTAGCTTTTTACGTTTTACCTTTTGAATAATATGTATTATTGTTATGTTTGTTTTCATTTCTAAGTATCTAAAAATTATATATATAAGTCCATTTAAGCCATAATTATAAATAATTATTTTATATAATTTAATCTTCTAAACATCCTATTATTCGTAACTAAGTTATCAAGTATATAAACATATTTGATTTTAATTTAAGAAAAATTTTTATATTTAAATGTTCGGAATATAAAATACAAATTTTTACATTATTTTCAACAAATTAAAATACTTATTTAACTTCATAAATTGAAAAGTTAATTTAAAGTTTCTAATATATAATATTTCTTATATTTTTTAATAAAAATATCAATTATATTTTTATTTATAATATGTTTATATTATAATAATTTATATATTGTTATTAATAATACTAAATATATATATTTTTATATTATCACTACTAATAATAAATAATTTTCTATATTTAAAATTATAAATTTTTACATATATATAATATGGATAATTTAAAATAATTATTATAGAAAAGGATTAAATATAATTCATAAATATTTAACTATATATCTAAAAAATAATTATACAAATAAAATCATTTTAAAAGCTAAAAAAATAAAAATATACATACTATAAAAAATGTTAAAAAATACTACTAATTTTACCTTCGAAATATTAAAAAGTTAAAAAATAGGTATATTAACTCTTTCAAATACTCAAAAAAGGAATGCTTTATCAATATAATTAATAAAAGATCTTCATTGTCATTTATAATATATTTCCTAATAAAATTACTTAAGTGAAGATTATATAAAAGTATTAATTATAAAATCTTTAGGAACAGTTTTTAGCGCCGGTCATGATTTAAAAGAAATGAAATCTCTTTAAATTTAAAAAGATATTGATTAGTAAAAAGAAATGTTTTAAAATGCTGGAAAAATGATGCATTTTATGTAATAAATGCCCCAAATAAACATCGCATAAGTCCATAATTTTGCGACTGCTGCCGGTTGCTAATTAGTTTCTTCCTGTGATTAAGTTGTCGCTAGTAAATCTGCTAAATTCAGCACCCCAGGTATCAAAATAGGCCTTTTTTGTTCAACTCCAGGTGTTGCATTGGCAAGAAGTATGTCGCATTAAAAAAAGGCTTTTGAGATGTTGGTCACAGGAGAACCTATTAATGCTTAGGAAGCCTACGAATGTGGATTAGTAAATAAATTAGTTGAAAAAGAAGCTGATTTGGACAATTAAACACTTTAATTAGCTGAATAAATAGCTGTACACAGTGGAGAAGTATTAGCTTTAGGTAAGAAAGCGTTTTATTAATAAAAAAATATAGGAGATTTGGAAAAAGCATATGATTTTTGTTCTGGTATTATGTCATAAAATTTACAAAAAGAAGATTGCGTTGAAGGTTTGACAGCTTTTATGGAAAAAAGGCATGCAAACTTTAAAAAATGAAAATATTTTTTTTTTATATATATAAAAAAAAAAACTTATAATTATTAAATAAATTATATAGTTATTTCAATTATATATTTTTTTATAAATATTTATATCTCTCAAATAAAATTAAAAAAAATAAATAAACATACATATATATATATAAATATATATATGAGATATATAATAAAAGGTGGAGTCTGGAAAAACTCCGAAGATGAAATATTAAAAGCTGCTGTAATGAAATACGGCCTTAATTAATGGTCTAGAATATCATCCCTTCTAGTCAGAAAATCAGCAAAATAATGTAAATAAAGATGGTATGAATGGCTTGACCCATAAATAAAAAAAACTGAATGGACTCGAGAAGAAGATGAAAAATTACTCCATTTAGCCAAAATATTTCCTTGTTAATGGCGTACAATAGCCCCTATAGTGAATCGTACACCAAATCAATGCGTTGATAGATACGAAAGACTCCTTGATATAGCCTAAGGTAAAGACCCAGATGATCCAAATGATCCCAGAAAATTAAAACCAGGCGAAATAGACCCTAATCCAGAAACAAAACCAGCTAAAGCAGATCCCATAGATATGGATGAAGATCAGAAAGAAATGCTTGCTGAAGCACGTGTAAGACTGGCAAATACGATGGGAAAAAAGCCTAAAAGACTTGCTAGGGAAAAATTAATTGAAGATGCAAGAAGATAGGCTTAGTTATAAAAAAGAACGGAATTAAAAGCTGCTGGAATAGAAATAATAGGAAAAAAGAAGCTTAAAGGGTTAAATTATAATGCGGAGATTCCTTTTGAAAGGATTATTCCTGAAAAAATGTTCAAAAATCCAAAAGAAGAAACGCCTTAGCCGAATTTAAATTTCCAAAATTTAAGTTTAAGAGATATTGAGGGAAAAATGAGAATCGAAGAAGAGGAAAAACTAAGAAAGATAGACGAAAAAAGAATAAAAAAATTAAAAGAAAATGAATTAGAAAAAGTAGTAGAAAAAATGAATTAAAAAACTAAAGAAATACTTTCATAAAGTACTAAATTAGTCATGCCATCTCCTTAATTGTAAGACAAAGATCTTGAAATACTTGGAAAAATAAATAATTTCTAATAATTAACAACCACGGATAATGAAATAACTAAAGGATTAATGGGTAAAAATATTATTAAATATATATATAAAAAATAAATATGCATATATATATAAATAATATATATATATATATATATATATATATATATATATATTTACATATATATATAAGAAATTTTTTTACTTTTTATTTTTTATTTATGTTATTTTTTTTTAAATAGGTACTTATTCACAAAGAGAAATGCCTTTGACTTAAATGAGAACTCCAAGATATTAGGATTAATTGTTAAATGAAGCTAAGAATTTAATAGCATTAAATTAAACTTAAACTCCTTTAGTAGGTGGATAAAATCCTTAATTAATTGAAGAAAAATAAGTTTTTTCAAATTCAGTTTAATTTAAAATTCCTTAAACTCCTAATAATTTAAAAAAAATTATAGAGGATTAAAAATTAATTAATTAAGTAAAAAATATCTTATAATTTTAAAAAAATTCATTTAAAAAATAAAGGGATTTGCATTACCTGCAAGTAAAAGAAGATACGAATAATAATAAGATACACCATTTAGAGATTAATTTGGTTTACATGAAAGTATAAAATCAGAAAATGAAATCCATAATACAAACGGATGGGAAAACTAATCTTAATATACTGAAGATAGTTAATTTATGTAGAAAAACTCATAATAAATATTAAAGGAAAACATATTTAATTTACCAAAACCTTAAAATGAATATTAATTTGAAATTCCAGATTTCGAAGCTGAGGAAGATTTAGAAAAATAAAAACGAAATAATTAGATGCAGAAGATGAATATAAACTTAAAATGAGGTAATTAGAATTAGAAAAAGAAAAATAGATTAGATAAAGATCTCTTGCAATATAAAAAAAAATGCCTAGACCACTTAATATTCCAGATTAAATTTACGATCATATTTATAATAGAGAAGATATATCTGATTATAGAAGAGAAGCTGAACAAATGCTAGAAACTGAAATAATATAATTATTATCTTTCGATAATTAAAATTTCGCTTTTCCTGGATGTAAAGTAATGAATATTTAAGAATATATATATATAAATATATTTTAATAAATGAAAAAATATATTTATAAAAAGGCTCCTAAAATGAAAATTTTCATAGAAAAATTTGATGAAAATTATTTAAATTAAGCTTCTGAATTAATTAGTAAAGAAATACATGGTGTTAAATAAGAAAATTAAAACGGAGATATTGATTTAGATAAATGGAATTAATTTTTATTATCGTATTAATATAATCCTATATAAGATTAGTATATAAATTTGATTTAATTTAAAATATATATATTTATAAATATATTAGATTTTAAGATATTAATAAAATATAAAATAATCAACTTACTTAAATTTTGAGATTTTAAGCAGAAAGAAATAAAATTTTAATTGTAAATAAATAAATATTTTTTTTCTTATATATTTTATAGTTAAGAGAAAATTAAAGACTTGAAACTTTATAACATGCTACAAGGGTTAAATTGACAGGATTTTTAAATGTTATTCAAAAAACCGGAAAAGAGGTTGATTAATTAGAAGAAACTTAAAATTCATTAAAAACAGAAATTTAAGTTTTCGAATAATTATTATAATAAGAAAAATAAAACGCTATTTATAGACAAGAAGAATTAAAGAATTTTTATAATGATTTATTAAATAAAGAAAAATTACTTTAAGAAAGATATGATTATCTGTAATTATAAAAATATTAACTTTAATAAGAAACAGTAGAGGAAGAATGTTGAAAAGATTTTTAATTTTTATAAAAGGAAAAATAAATAAATATTTAAATAACAATAAAAAATTAACATGTAAATTATTATATTATCTAAATAATATAAGATATTAATACTTTTTTAATTTTTTTAATTTTAAAAAGAAATAAAACTTATTAAATTTTTTATAAAAAAAAAATATAATAATGAACAAATTATATAATTATTAAAATTTATTAATTAAATTATATTATTAAAAGTAAAATATACATTTAATATTAAAATTTATTAATTTTTTTTTCTTATTTAATGATTTTATTTTTCTCAAGATAGAGTGAATTTATTAATTTAATATAAAAAATTTAAATTATTCTAATATAATTTATTTTATAAATATGTTATTTTAAAATATAAATTATTTATTATATTTAAAAATAAAATATTTTAATAATATTAATATAAATAATAAGCATATTTAATATTTTACATTTCTTTAAATTTATAAGCTTTATAAATATTATTTTATTTTTATTTAAAAAAAAAACTTAATTATATTTGTAAATATCATTTTAAACTTTATATTCTATTTTTTTATTATATTAAATTATCTTATTTTAAAATTATTAGTAATTTTTATAAATATATTATTATATGTATTCTTAATAAATGGCTTTTCTTTAAAAATTATTTATTATTATTAAATTTAATTATAATTTTTTTAACTAGTTATTTATTTATTTTATATTTTATTATTTTAATTATTTATACTTGATACATTTTTAACTTTAGAATAAAACTTTATATTTATCTAATTTTTTAATTAAAAATCATCATTAACATTGAAACATTGACATAAAAAAAATATAAATTTAAAAAAAATCAAGCTATATTTTTATTTTTAAAACATTATTTCATTTTTAAATCTTTTTCCTTATAATTTTAATAATTTTCTTAATGTATTTTATATAATTTTTTATTATAAATTTTTTCTTTATTTTTAAATGGAATATATTTTTAACATATTTTCTAATCTTCCTTTTAACTATAAATAAATAAAAATCCATTTTAAGTTTCCATTCTTTTATAGAAATTCAAAATACATTAATATTCTTTTAAATTTTAAAGTATAATTATATTATATTTAATTCAACTTAATTTAAATATATTTATTTAATTTATTTTCCGCATTTTTTACCTTAAAATTCTTGATTAATTTATTTCTAATAATATAAATATTATAGTAATATTTTATTAATTAGTTAATTATTTAAAAAACCTTATAAATTATATATAATATCTAAACATTTTATTTTTTAAAAAAATTATTTTTAATTATATATTATCATTATTTATTGATTTTTTATAAAAATTTTCATATATTATTCAGTATCCATATTGTTTATATTTAGTAAAAAAAATATATATATATTTTTCTCTTTTTTTTACTAAATGTAAACAGTATGGATACTAATGAAAATGTGGATTATTTCCAAGTTTTTCCAGATTAAGAAGATAACTGATGTTCATATTCGATAAAGATAGTTTTTTAGAATATATTAGATATCATTAACACTATTTTAATATTGATACTATTCTGTATGTTGAAATAAAATCCAAAAACAAAAGAAGTTATTTATTTTAAATATATAATAATATATTTTCTTTTGAAAATTTTTAAAAAATGTAATGTAATTTTTTATATAATTATTATTGCTAATAATTTTATAGCATATAAATAATTAATATATATATGTATATATATATATATCTTTCTATCTATATTAATTTATTTTTTTCATTTTTATCTAAAATAAGGATGATTAATAGCTTATATAATATCAAATCTTTAATCTTATTCATATTTTAAACAACCCTAAATAAACCCTTTACAATCTTTGGAAATACTCGGTTTTTCGGGAAAAATAACTTTTCTTGCATTCAAAAGAATTGTATTTTCCTATAAAATCTATTATTAACTCATTTTATTTCCGAAAGGTTTTTCTCCATAAAGAAATTCGAAAAAAATAACTCCTAAACTCCAAATATCGACCTTATTAGATATTTTTACTTTCTAATTATCCCTCCCCTCTTCATATTATTAATTTGACTTCACTTCCTCACACATAAAACACTCAGGAGGTAAATACCAATATGTCCCAACTCCTTAACTGGTCAGTTCCATTCTTGTTGAATTATCCATTATAATTTTCGAAAGTCCAAAATCTGTGACCTTAATTTATCCTTTATGGAAAATAATATTCTAAGGCTTTAAATCATAATGTATAACTTTATTTTCAAAAGAATTTAAATACTCTAAAACATCCAAAATACTTTTTATAATGCACTTGGCGTCATTTTCAGGAATTTAATTGTGAATTTTTAAATATTAAGAAAGATCCATTCCATCGCAAAATTATAAAACTGAAGCAAAAGAAGAATTGTCTAATTGAATGTAGTCTAAAAGTTAAACTATATTTGGATGGATTAATTCTTTTTAAATAGCATGTTCACGAAAAGCATGCTTTATGTAATTTTATTTAGTTTAATTAGACCAGTTTTTGTCTATATTATGGATTTTTATGGCGACTATTTCATAAGTTTTTAAATCTATAGCCTTTTTTTAATTGAAATTTAATTTTTGTTAATTTTTTTTTTTTTTACTTTATAAACTTCACTAAAGCCTCCCTTTCCTAAAAGATTTAATAATTGATATATTTCTCCTAATACAGGCCAATTTTCTAGTCTGCCGTATTTAGAACTAATATTAATATATATTTATATGTAAAATTTATTAATTAGTGGAAAAAAAATACTTATCTTCAAGATATTATAATTAGTATTTTTTAATTAAATCTTAAATTTCCTTTTTTTTGAAATCTAAATTTGAATTAAGTTATTATTTTTTTTTCTATAAAATACAAAGTTAAAATTATAAATTTTTTAAAGAATCTTCCATTTTAGTATTTAATAAAGAATCATCAAAAAATCCAGATTAAAAAAAACTATTTATTTCTTATTAAAGTGCATTATTTTCTTAATTTTATTATTTAAAAGTCAAAGTATTCTTTTATTTTCCATTTTTTATTTTCTGTATATATTCTTAATAGTAATTTATTTAATTATTTAATTCGTTCTTTTTTTTTGTTAATAAATAAAATAAAATATATATAAATAAATATTTTACTATTTCTTTATTTAAGTCTTATATTTCAATTCCATCAATCCATTTGTCTTTAAATTAAACCCCATCACTTATATTTTTATTTAAAAAAATATTAATTATTTTTTTTTGTTAAAAAAAAAAATTAATATTACATTACATATTCACCTAACCTTATTTTTTATTAATTTAGTTATATTTTTGATAAAGTTCTTTTTAATTAAGAATTTTCGATATAAAGTTATTATATAATATTTTTGATTTTTAAATTTTATTCATCATTTATCAAAGAAGCAGTTTTATTTTATAATTTTTCTTTTTACAATTCCTCAATAAGTAATTTCTTTTCTGCTAATTCCTAATTTTTTACTTTAGCTAATTCTGTAATTAATTAATTAAATTTTCGCTATTATTCGAATCGATTTTTAAGCTTTTACTTTTAGTATCTTAACTTAAATAATCTGTTACTTTTCCAAATTTTATTTTTAAATTTTAATTTTTTCCTTTGATTTAATTTTTTCTTAGTTTTTATTTTTCATAAAAGTAACTAACTTTTATTATTATTAATTCTCATTTTTTTTTTATTTTTTCATTATTTAAGGCTCTTCTTCTAATATTTTTTTTTGAATTTTATAAAAATTATTGATTTTAGATAAACCCTATTCTCCAGCAAAAAACATTAAATTTATATTATTTTCTTTTAATAAATCATTTTCGAAATCTAATTCCATTAATTTCTTATTAAATATATTTGGTTGTTCTTTATTTTATTTCTAATTATTTTCTTAACACTAAATTTAATATTTTTAGGGAGATTTTGATTTTCTGATTCTTTAATCTAATAATTATAATTTTTATTTTAATGGAATTTACATGTTTTTTATATAATAGTTTTTTTTTTTTTTTTATTGATTTTTATTATATAGATTTATATTTTAAAAAGCTAAATAATTGCATTTTTTTATTTATATTTTCTAAAAGTAAAATGATTATATTAATACATTTTTAAAAAAGTTATATTCGAATATTATTTTAATATGTATAGTAATATATTTAGGCGCCAATTTTCAATTTTTTATTAAATTTATTAAATACTTTTAATTTTTTAATATAAATTAAACTCATATATTTTTAAAAATTCATTATTTATTTATTTATATTTAATATTCAAAAGAAAAAACTGTTTATTTTTTTATTTTCTGAAAATCAAATTTAAAAAAAAAAAAAAAAGAATATAAATAATTAAATTTAATAATTAAAAATATTAAGAATTAATAAATTAAAATAAATATTTTATAATAAGTAATATATATTTATTTAATAATTAAATAAATATAAGAATTGTTTTTCATAAATGATTTTATAATAAAAAATTTATATAATTATAATTTGTAATAATTATTTCTAAAGAGTTTAATAAAAATAAAAAAATATTGTATGTAATAATATTATAAAAATGTCTACAATTATAATATAATTTATTAAAAAAATTATGTTTATATGTTTAAATATATTTTTTTCATTTATTAATTTATATATAAATTATTTTAATTATATCTTTTTAATTTAGTGTAAGATTTTATTTTTAAAATATTTTATTATACACATTT